GCCGTACTGGTGATCGAAATCCTGGCGGAGTCACAAGGAATTACTTCTCTACTGGGTCCCAACCCCAGGGTGTTCACAGCCAGGATGGCTGCGTATACATATGGGGAATGATGTTGGGCACGTAAATGGGTACATATGGCATCGTTATGCACATAACTTGCGGTCGCCAACTGGAGACCGACTGGTCGTTTCGTGAGGCAACGTGGCGGCGGTCGTGAGAGACACTGCGGTCTTATGGTTGGAGGTCATGGCCCTGTTTTCCGTTTAGGAAAGTATGGGAAAGGTTTGTAGTTTGTTATAGGGAGATCGACAAATCTCATTTATTCGCAGGTCCCATTTTGCCACAAGAGGTGGGGGGGAATTGATTTGAGGCTAGATGTCAAGGGGTAGACAGAGTTGCGGTTAGATGCATGTAGGTTTCGTTTCTGTTTTTTTATCGTTTTTGTTTTTCTACTCTTTTTGTTTTTAATTATTTATATTTTATTATTTAGTATTGAGCAGGGCCCATGCAGGTCTCGTTTCGCCTGTATGTGAGGTTTGTTTTAAGAAAACGCAAAAAAGTTCGGGAGCACTCTCCAACGCGGAGGATGTGGATTTTCCGTTCGAGATGGCTCGCCGCCACACTGCGCTCTCCAAGGGGGCAGTCTCCAAATCGTCAGACGAGGCCCGACATTTTTGGAGAGTGCAGTGTGGCGGCGAGCCCTCTCCACAAACTGGTGGGGCTGGACTTTCCATGCGGCTGCAATCGTGTTCGGAAACCTGCGCGGGCCCGTGGGGGGATGCTTGGGCCCGGCAAGGGTCTGAAAGGACTTCCAATTTTGGTGAGTGCTCTCGAACCGTTCACGACAAAATGGTGGCAGCAGACATTTGTCGGTCGAGACGCCCTCTCCAATTTGGGGCCGAAATCGGAGGAGCCTCGGACCACTCCTCAAAACCGGTGTGTTGCAGGCGGGGCGATCCACCAACTTCGAGAGCACTCCCGAAACCCGCGTGCTGGCCGCTCTCCAATTTTTTTCTGACACCGATTTTGGAGAGTTGGTATGGTGATGCTTCTCCTCTCCAAATCGGTGTTTTCTGGATAGGTGTGGCGAGGCCCACATGCGCACACACACACACACACACACACACACACACACACACACAC